AATTGTAAATTTTATTTACATTAAGTCTCGTGTCTCTCTCCCGTAATTGACCTACAGTTGGTGGTAGCAAATCATTGAGTTTATGTGAAGGGTCCTTTATATCCTTTATCAAGTTTATGCACATTAACTCTCTTCGACTTTCCAAAGTTTTAAAACCACATTCAGTTAATGCTTGTTCATAATTCTTTTCCGGGCATATAATTTTCATTGCACGCTTTTGATTCTCTCTATTCCCTAGATTGTTCCTCTGTCAAACTCCCATGCCAAATTTGAGCTCCATATTCTACGATTGATCGAATTGCCGAAGTATAAATAGTTTTCAAGTCATCTCGCGGAGCATTATATCCTTTTAAAATTTTTAAAAGATATAATCGTTTAGCTGCCTTTTTGACAATGTATTCCGTATTTGTTCTCCATTTTAGATCATCGTCTAACCACAATCCAAGTAATTTATACGAGCTTACTCTTTCTAGGATGCATTCATCGACTTCTGTTGCAGGAATAGCTGTTCTATCCTTTCGAAAGTCGATAATCATCTCTTTGCACTTTTTTGGGTTTAACTCCATTCTCTCAATTTCCGCAAAATTCTTTACCGAATTAATTTTTTGGGGTATATTACCAATTTCCGTGCCAGAGATATGATTGTGAACATCCAGTGCCTCACTAATCGTTGTATCGTCCATGAAGAGAATCGTATCTTCATCCACAACGACATCATTATTTCCATTTCCTACAACAGCTTCTGCTATAACACTAGGTAACATATTAATTTTAACCACAAAAGCAATAGGTCCCAGCTTACTGCCTTGCGGAACGCCTCCCATAACATTCGCAAAATCAGATACTTCGTTTCCAAACTGTGTAAAATGAGATCTCTCGTCCAGGTACGATGCATACCATTTGATCAGAGCAGGTCTTACACCAATTTCTCGCATGTTTTCTAAGAGTTTATTATGATCGATAAGGTCAAATGCCTTTCGGAAATCCAAAAAGACTATTCTTATCACTCTGTGCAGTTCATCCAATGATTTATGCCACTTGTGTATTAAATTAACCAGCGCATTAATTGTCGATGATCGTGGTAGACCCCCATATTGAGAATCAGAAATTTTTTCATCGGTATCTTCATATATCCACTGAACAGCAAAAGATTCTTGAACCTTTGCTAGGACACTAGTTAAAGCAATTGGTCTTAACTCTTCAACATGCGTACATGGTACAGATTTAGGGATTCCAGATACCTTGTATTTTTTCCAGATCTCAGGAAAAATTTTTGATTGAAAAGATTCATTAAAGATTTCGGTCAAAGGTACAGCAAAATATTTTGTAAAAATCTTCAAGATCTTCAGAGAGGGATCATAAGGACCAGGAGCTTTATTAAGGTTAATTTTACGCAATTCTCGTTGTACCTGGTCGACAGTAATTAGAGGTAGATTCTCTATACATTGAAATTCCAACCAATTTTCGTTCACTTTCGGATAATTCTTAGTTAAGTTTGCAAAATAATCGTTTATATAATGAGCAGACTGCTTATCATCCATCTGAAACCCAGTATTGGGATCCAACATTATTGGTTTAGCAGTTTTCTTGCCGATCAAGCCCTTCATTTGTTTCCACCAAGATTTAGGGTTGTTTTTAAAGTTTGGACTTACTTTATTCTCGTAGAAATCAATTTTCGCTTTCCGAATTTCTGCCGAGACTTGTCTTCTGAGACTTTTCACACGCTCAACTTTTTTATTTTTAAAAGCCATATTCCTTTTAAGAATCAACGATTTTATTTTAGCTGTCATAAAAGGTTTATCCTTACTATAAACTTTAACCGTTTTTTCCGGAAAATATTCAGAAATCATATTCTCAGTGACCTGAAGAAAGGTATTGACTTTTTCATTGATGTCGGAGGTGTAAAGAACCGAAGACCAGTTATAACTTGCTAGTAGAGATTCGAAATTCTCTAACTGCTGCTGTCGGATTTTTCTCACTTTGATTTTAATCGTAGTTCCTTTCTCCGTAATATGAGACTTGGACTTCCAGCTGATGATATTATGATCCGACGTTGACAGTGGGGCTAGGATTTCCGGAGTTTCGTAACAGTCAGCCATGTCAGTGAATATTAAATCAAGGATGTTTCTGTTTCTGGTAGGTTGCGTTACAATTTGTTTAAGATGACAATGCCTCTTTAAACGGTTTTGTTGGAACCCATTACTATCTGGATTGAAATCGCCTCCTAGAATAATTGCCGTATGTGGGCTTTCTAGACAAAGCTGGTCATAACAGTTGTTGATATAATCATAGAAATTGTCAATTTCAGATACATTTAGGTTTGGTGGAAGGTATGCGCATCCTACTGCAATCCTTGAAATTGATCTTGGTAACCACTTTGGGCGGATAGTAATCCATAAGCATTCAAACAGTTGATCGTTTAAATCATCACGCGTTTTTAGTGGTATACTTTCATTGACATATATTGCTACCCCTCCACCTCTACCACACAATCGATCTTTTCTGATAATGTTCAGACCAGAAACATTCACAACCTCATCAGGGATTACATCTCTAACCATGTTTCTGTCACAAGAATTAAGTCAGCAATATACTTATCTCTAAGGATTTCAAGTTCATTTACCTTATTGACTAATGATCTTGCATTCAGCATCATAATATTAGGGACAGCTCTATTATTATCCAGGGGGCGTTGTGCTTTTTCAGGGTGGATTCTGATACAGTTATTAACGCAATGCGTTCTGACATTGTTATTTGGTGAACTTTGTCTCTGTTCTGTTATTCTAACAGGAATACTTTGTGTGTTATTTACCTCAGTACTGTCCGACAATGTCACAGGAACAAGGTTTCCTGTATTACGCTTTGATAAACGTGAGCGATATTTACGTTGGGTTATCACAACGGGAATATTATTGAATCTGATTGGAATGTGAGCCATTAGACGTATGTTGAAAAATTCCCATGATGGGTGGTGTTAAATTTGATTTCACGTCTAATGGAATTTCTAGTGCTTTTCGATTGCCACAGATTACATTTGACAAATCTTGGCCAGAAACCTTCCGATTGAACTTCAGACCACATTGAAGATGGTATGTGGATTTTAGCAGATTGGGTTCCTCTTCGTTGACTTCGAAACAGAGCAATGTGAGTAGGTATTATATTTCGTTGCTCTAAATAGGATAAGATCTGATTCTCTTGCACGCTCTCGTGTATTCCAGACAGGAAAAGTTTCTTTACTCTTTTCCGCCTTCTGTCAACCCCAATAAAGCCATCACCTTCAGTATTTCTTTGTAATGGGACACTTAGTAAAGTATCTTCAGGGTTATTAACCATATTTGGTTTTTCCTTAGGTTTACGGGGTTTTGGATGCCTTTTAACCACTTGGGCATAGGATTCTCGACGCGCCACAACACAGCCAACTTCTCTATCAGTAAGAGTCTCGTCAGATTCATCCGACTGACTAGTGAATCCTGCTTCATTGCTTCCTATAGAATTTTTTAATTGATCTGACACTAAGGTGTCATTAGCGTCAGTTTCAATACAGTCTTGGGCAATAACTTGATTTACATTTTCTCTTTCTTCGTTATGGTTAATCGACTTTGTCGAAGACCCCTCTGTAAGGCTTGTTTCATTCTTCCTGATGAAATCTTGAAATTCTGAAATTACTGAAGTTATGTGCAAGATAGAGTTCGACAATGATTGAATTGCCTCGCTATTCACTTGTTGATCTTGCTTCATACATTCTATATCAGTGTAGAAATCAGGCGATTCACCCGAATGAACTTTGCCCATGTCATGTACAGACACAGGTTCTGAGATGTCGTCTTCACACTCACATATATGCTTACATAATTCCTTCTTGAAGTTGTTAGCTTTCGATCCATTAAAGGACAACAAGTTCTTACTCTTTCTCCAGAGGATCGTCGAATCTTCGGTTGTGAAAAGCTTTCTATCCCCGCCGGGTTGAGACCAAACACCATCAAGTTTGAAGGTTTCATAAACAAACCTTTTCAACGATTCATAGTCCCCGTTCCAAGCTAAACTTAGCTTGTTTGTTATCGCCATAGCATAAATCAAATAACTTATAACTCTTGTACCAGTTTGGAGCTTATTAGACAGCTTATTAAGTTGAATATGTTGAAATCTTATAAAGAAATTTATCGGAGCTAAATTTTCACGTCCGCCATGTTCATTCGTTATCGCGCTGATATGAAATTTACAATATAAAATTTCGGCATCATTGGACTTCATGATAACAACGGTATAGTAGCTCCATAAGCTTTTATTAGGCTGAGAATGTAGCTTTTAAACCATAAACGATTTTCAATTTCTGCGGGTTGTAAAAGATGCAGAGTTGCGCAATAAATATACTAAAACATTTTTATTTATAGGAGATTTTGTACAGTCAATTAAGACATGAATGTATTCCTCTTCCTCTGCAAATTAAACAAGTTGATTGTAAATTGCTTATGCTACACACATTCAAATACATTGAACATTTTTTGTGCCGAAGATTCACTGTTGTTCGGGGAATGATTATAGTTGAATATAATTGAAACACTAGCCCAGACTCGGCAAATGTGTACACGGAAGTTTTCATTTTGGAAGCAATATTCTCTTGTGTAAAGTGCCTGTCGAAACAACGAGACGAGGATCGAGGGTAAACTGTAAAGTCGAGGATATGTTTTAATGCATTATTAATGCCAACGCCTGGTTTCATACCATAATCTGGCTTCGTTACTATTAATACAATCATATCATGTAACTTAGATCGCCCACTAAATGGGTTAACGTCATTATCTAGCTACAGATTAAACTAATCAAGTAGAACTTTAACTACGAGTAAACTTAAGGAAGTTAAATTTCCCTTCGACTCTCCTCCCTATTTAAATGAGGCAGTATCTGATCATCTTCCTTTATCATACGTGTGACCACTGACCACCCCGCTTTTACCCATATCAGGAATAACGAGACGTTACGTCATTCAGTTGAGACTTTAAGCTACACAACAGTCGACTTCCGAAGTCAGCAATATTAAATACAATCACAACTGAAGGTAATAACACATTTTTCACAAAACCAAGAAGATAGATACGTGTCGAAAGATATGCAGGTGAGACTTATAAGTTCTATACGTGTATTAGGCAATGATAGTTTGATGCTCACAGACGCAGTAGGTTTCGTTGGAATAATGAAATAACAAATAGTTAAAATTCGTTTCGTTCTTTTATAGAAATGACGCAACGTTAATTGAGATTATTTGGTAGACCAATCCTGTCAACTTTCTGGTAAGCAAAGATAAAGAATTTGAAATTAAACTAAGATTTTAAGTGATATTGTGTTCATTATTTTCGTGAAGGCTCAAAGTGTAGGCGACAGGTGTGGTCAACAAAGAATATTTCGTAATAGATCTTTACTTGTTACGGTCGTGTCAACGTTGCACATTTCATTTACCAGATGCATTAAGCAGTCATATGTTTGTCATGAGTGCTTCATTAAAATAAAAGTTCAACGTTTCTCACGATTCCATTACCAAAAGTCAGCAATATTTGTTGGGAGTCACTGAAGAAGAAAATATATTTAAAATAACAAACGAGTTTCGGTTCAGTCGAGGGTCGAGGGTGAAGTCGAAGATACATTAATTGGCATTATTATGAAAAATAATGCCCGACGTAAAAAGTCAGCAATATTAGTGACAATCACAGAGGTAATAACACGAAATGAAAACGGCAAGAATAAAAATACGGGTCCAACGTGAGATTTATAAGTCCTGCATGCATGTGTATTTTGACGTTTACAGACGCAGTAGGTTTCGTTGATATAATCGAATAACAAATAGTTGAAATTCTTTTCGTTCTCTTATAGAAATGACGAGAGGATAATAATATCGTCCAGGAACAATTCCCTCAACTTATTGGTAAGCCTAAATGGAGCATTTGAAATGAATTTAAGATTTATATTTATACTGTGTTCATTACCTTGATTACGACTCAATATGTAGGCGGCAGATGTGTAAGCAAGAATATGTTGCAATAGACTTTCACTTGTTGCGCTCGTTCTCATGTACCTAATGCATTGAGAAGTTTTTTGTTCTCTTGAGTGGTTCAGTGCGAAAAAAGTACGTCTGAGACAGGTCTAAAGGCTTCTCCTCATGATTATTTTGCCAACAGGCAGTAATGTTTTATCGGCGGCCACTGACGAAGAAAATTTATTCAAAATAACGTTTTGAATTTAAGTTTGTCGAGGGAACTTGGTCGAGGGTCGAGGTTGAAGTCGGTGCTTGACGTTTATCGCATTTTTTAAACTAGCGATTAAGCATGGCTTAAAATTATGTTCAGTTGTCAGTAATTAAGTCATCCATTATTCCACGGAAAGATTAATCAAATCAATCTTTATTAAGAAATTGTTTCAGTTGTTTCGGCATCATTACCACTCTTGCGAGCAACGCATCTATCTTTTTTATAGTTTAAGAATAACCAAGTAACGTTACATCGAAAATTTGGCAATTTAAAACGATACTCGATCATCTTCAATAATTTGAGTCATCGGCAATACTACAAGTTGTTTATATTTTACTCAGTATTTTATGCCATCAAACAATTCCACCAAAAGGCCTAGTTTACAACAGCGTCAAAGTGATATTTTCCAGGAAAAACCTTTTCTTATATCGGCCCAAAGTGGCATTTTAAACTTGTGTAAATTTGATTGGATACAAATTTTAGTGAGATTATTATCGTGACTTTCTTCTGGCTGTACTTACATTTAATTCTCATTAATTTTGGAAAAATAGCCTGACCCATTATGATATATCAAAAATCAAATCACGAAGAAACTATGTTATTTAAATTTTCCCAGCACTTTTTATCAGTCTTGTCCACTCACCCGTAAAAATAACGATTGTCTCCGAGCCGGTGCGAAGTACCGACCGAGGGTACTAATTCCGCCCGGAGATTTTAATTACGCCCGCAATGCAAATGCAAAATCAAAGTTGTCCGCCATTATGTCATGGACGTTGGGCATTTTGTAAGTTATGCGCATGCGTGAGTTAAGACGAGTTAAAGCTGGTAACTAGCAAACGTTTGCAAGCCAATTGCAATTGGCTAAATTAAAATTTTGGTTCGCATAACTGATATTATAAAAGCTTTTTTTAAATAATATTTTTCATTTGGATGGTCTTGAAAAGATACGAAAAATTGATTCCTAAAATTAATTAAAATATAAACTAAAAGATGCTTTCGGATAGAAAAACTTTGATTCGAATAGATGGTGAAAAATCTACGATTTTAAAGCATTTTGGAGTGTTTTTGAAAAAATAAATAGGTAGATTTTGTATTTAAAGCATGCAAGCATTTTGTAAGTTTAACTTGTAGATTTATCAACAAACGTACGAAACCTCTCTTAATTTATTCGTCAATTTCGTTAAAATGATTTTGATTGGGAAAGCATTTATTTTTCAAGGTGAATCTGTTTAAAAAGGAGTTGAAATTCCGCTAAAAGTTGTAGTACAGTATTTAAAACTATTCGTTCCACAATTAATGAATTATGATTATAGTTGAATGTGATAGCACGAGAGTCGACTTTATAATTGTACTTCATATAGGATTTTACTTATACGATTTCGATGTTATTCAGCAGAAACAAGTAAAGGAGCAAAAATGTCCGCTGTACCATGGGAAAGCGAGGAAAGTCGAAACTACATCTGTATGGATTATATTGTCACCAATGTTGCAAGTAAAGGATTGAGAAAAATATTTATTCAGGAATGGAACAGTCGTTACCAGGCTTCCTTTGGAAAATGGGATGACACCAACGTAGGTGGTAATCAGTTGTTTCATAGGGAAAAATCACGTGCCAGGCCGAACAAGAACACACTCCAGTCTAAATTTCAAGATGGTGATACAAATGAGTGGGATTGTACTGTGCTTTCTGATGCAATTCTTTACTCCAATTCCATTGGAACAAGTCTGAATCCAACGATACGGATTGCAGTCGACAATATCAGAACATTACGAAACGAAATTAAGCACATTTTTGAAGCAAAACTCGACGACAAAGACTTTCAGTCCATGACAACCCGTGTTGAAAATGCGTTTAAAGCCCTGAGTCTTCCAATCTATGAGGTTCAACGAATCAAAATTGAGCGGAATCTTTACAAGTCGTTTCAAGTTTTGCCTCCTAAGCCAACTCATGAAGTTGTTCACCGTTCAGAGTTGATACATGATATAAAATCTGATCTGGAAAAGCTGCATCAAGATAACGAAAATAAACTCACATATTTCTTTATCTCTGGGAATCCAGGAAGTGGAAAATCTCAACTCGCTAGACAAGTCTGTGAAGATATTTACAAAACTGTTAATTGGGCAACAGAGGCTATTTTTTTCATGACATTAAACGGAAGAGAATTAGATTCACTTTTGAATTCATACGAGGACTTTTGTCGCCGGCTAAATTGCAACGAATCTGTATTGGAAAGCGTGTTGAATTCATCAAAAGCAAAAGATGAGAAAATCAAAAACTTAAGATCGCAAATATCCAGCAGAATGAGGAATTGGAAAAAGTGGTGGATCATCGTGGACAATGTAGAAAATCCCGAGCTCATTTTCCCACTTCTGCCACAGTTAGGCGATGAACTTTGGAATAACGGTCAAATCATAGTAACAACACAAAACAGAAATTGTCTTCCTGATGACAGTCTGTCAACTAAACAGATTTCCCTCAGTTCAGGTATGAGTGATCAAGAATGTCGCAAACTTCTTACTCTCTTATCAAGAAAAGACGTCAATTATACATTACTAGATGACGTTGCAGAGAAGTTGGATCGCCAACCATTGGCAATGGCTTCCGCAGCCGTGTACATGCGGCAAGTCATCCAAAGTTCCCCGGATTTTTCGTGGCAAGAATATTTAGGAAAACTAGAACAGGATAAGAGAAAGATGACGGAGGGACGTCTAAAGCAGATTAATTTGGTAGCATATTCCTCAAGCATGACAACAGCTGTGCTTTTAGCTGTTGAAAAATGCACCGAAAGCAACAAAATTCTTGAACACGCATTCACCCTATTCTCTTTCATATCGTTCGAACCATTACCACTCGACCTTGTTGTAAAATACATTCAGCTGCAAGAAGAATCACTTGATGCCGAAGACATCATTCTTGCAATAAATCTTTGCTCCTTGTTCGTTCATGTTGAAAATATGGAGAGAGATGTCCGTCTACATCGTGTTGTTCACGAAGCAGTCAAAATATATTTTCTTTCCACAAAATGTGAAGATGACACGATTTCCGGGACTGAAATATTTACTAAGAAAAGAACAACGGAAAATAATTTGAAAGTTGTAATGTTCAAAGTTTTGAAAACAATTTATTACTTCAAAAATCGGAAAGACAAAAATAAAACGATTCCACATTTGAAAGCATTGCACAAAGAAATTTATAGATTGTTTCCAAATCAAGGGCTATCATTTTTGAGTTTCGAATTTCATGAAACAGAAATTTCTGAAATGTATGGGTTTTTTGGGAAAACTCTTCATTACTTTTGCGAAATAAAACTCTCAATGGAATTTTATCACCAAAAATTGAATATTGAAATAAAACGATTAGGACCAAACCATATTGCTGTCACTGATTCATACAACAACCTGGGTCTTGTTTATCATGATAAAGGTGATCTGGAAATGGCTAGTGATTATCATGAACGGGCGTTAAAAATTAAATTAGAACAATTAGGGCCAAACCATATTGACGTTGCTGTTTCATACAACAACCTGGGTATTGTTAATCATGATAAAGGTGATCTGGAAATGGCTAGTGATTATCATCAACGGGCGTTAAAAATTAGATTAGAACAATTAGGGCCAAACCATATTGACGTTGCTGCTTCATACAACAACCTGGGTATTGTGTATTATGATAAAGGTGATCTGGAATTGGCTGGTGATTATCAAAAACGGGCGTTAGAAATTAAATTAGAACAATTAGGGCCAAACTATATTGGAGTTGGTCGTTCATACAACAACCTTGGTAATGTGTATCATGATAAAGGTGATCTGGAAATGGCTAGTGATTATCATCAACGGGCGTTAAAAATTAGTTTAGAACAATTAGGGCCAAACCATATTGACGTTGCTGTTTCATACAACAACCTTGGTAATGTGTATCGTAATAAAAGTGATCTGGAAATTGCTAGTTATTATCATAAACGGGCGTTAAAAATTAGATTAGAACAATTAGAGCCAAACCATATTGACGTTGCTGCTTCATACAACAACCTTGGTAATGTGTATCGTGATAAATGTGATCTGGAAATGGCTAGTGATTATCATAAACGGGCTTTAAAAATTATATCAGAGCAATTAGGGCCAAACCACATTAACGTTGCTGCTTCATACAACAACCTGGGTAATGTGTATCATGATAAAGGTGATCTGGAAATGGCTAGTGATTATCATAAACGGGCTTTAAAAATTAGATTAGAACATTTAGGGCCAAACCATAGTGACGTTGCTGTTTCATACAACAACCTTGGTAATGTGTATCGTGATAAAGGTGATCTGGAAATGGCTAGTGATTATCATAAACGGGCGGTAAATCTATCCTCCCATGCAGAGCACTTTTCATTTACTGGATGACGTTGCTGTATATTATGATAGCACAGAATTATTATCAAGGAGCAACGAGTTTATTTTGAAAGTGCTAAAGATAATCATCAATACGGGCGCTATGACTATCATCGAACACCAAAAACTATTTTAGAATGGGACGTGTTTGTGTTGAAAAAGACAATGCGGAACATGGCATTGATAATTTCAAACTGAACATAGTATTGGGTTAGGATTATGGGGATATAGAACTGTACTGACTCTACAACTTTTTATTGCACGCAATATATTATGCATTCACCATTTACCATTCGGCAGGACACCATTGAGAAAGTTCAAAACTTTGCCTACCTGGATAGCACTGTGTCTACAGAGCGTGGAACTGATCAGGACATCCGCATTCGGATAGGAAAAGCTGCAGGAACCTTCAATACCCTTCAACCCATCTGGCAATCAACGAAGCTGTCCCTCAACACGAAACTTAGTATCTTCAACTCCAATGTGAAAAGTGTCCTCCTATACGGCAGTGAAACTTGGAGAGTGCTGAAGTCGTCGATGTCCAAATTACAAGTCTTTGTGAACCGCTACGTCCGCCAGATCCTTGGAGTGCGGTGGTACGGCAGGTTGAGTAATGAAGAGCTGTGGAGAATAACATCTCAGGAGCCAATCAAGCAAAAAATCAAGAGACGCAAGTGGCGTTGGCTCGGACACACGATGAGGAAACATGCAGACAATATCACACGAAGAGGGCTACGGTGGACACCCCAAGGGAAGCGCAAACGAGGACGGCCGAAGACCACCTGGCGGCGCTCAACGGAAGCCGAAGCGAAGGCCGCTGGCCTGACATGGGGACAGCTCGAGCGGAAGGCCCAGGACGGAAGGGGATGGCGTTCTCTGGTGGACGACCTATGTTCCGTACGGAACGACAGGAACAAATATATAATAGACTATGCGTTGTCTTACATTAGAGCGAGACAGGACTAATTAGCGGTTAAGAAGTTCACACAGTTTCCGTAACCTAAAGCTTATGTTGCTCATCGCAGTTCCTGTACTTTACTTTATCCCTCGTTTATTTCAAGAGATTTTTTCGTGTTATTCATTAATTTATATATAAATGGCTAAGAGTGTGTTAAGTGCATTAATGCAGTGTTTCATTTTATTGTAAATTTGTGTGACATAACGTTATTGTTTGTTTTACATTAGTAAGATTATAGAAAGAATCTAGGCTCTGGTAAGTGGAAAACGTCGAATAACAACGGGGGAATTGCGAAATCCTAAATATGAACAATGTGGGTATCTTTTGCGCGAGCCGGCATGGTGTTGATAGAGACGTGTTTTGTAGTTTTTTTGAAGTCATTGCAGCCGATTTAGTTGTGGTTCTCCTCAAAGCTGTCGAGTTTACGCTGCGAGTGCTCTACATTTAGAAAACCCATGCATGCATGTTATCCGTCCGTTAAACGAAAAGAGTCTAGTGTCTTAACGTAAGAATCCTGCCATTGTAATAGTTACGTAATACATTTTTATGCAACTCCCAGACGAAGTAATAAAATATTTGCAAATGAATATATACATTATTACTTTAAAATGATCGCGTGAAAGAAAACGAAACGCCTGTTTCTTCAGAATATTGCAAAGAAAACTCAATGATGGCGAAAAAGCAGGGATGAAGAAATATTTCTTGTAGTTTTTTTTCAAATTTAAGCCAATCAAAAGTAAGTCGACGATGACGTTTACCTCGCTTAATTCCCGCCTCTGTTTATTAAAAATTACTTCATATTTAACGAATACACTGCACATGATAGAGAAAAAAATTGATAGCATCTTCTTGTATTATTCAATTGGTATTCATATCATAGAAAAACGCATAAGTTGTAAGCAACCTTGATATTATCAAATAAGAATATTAGAATAGAAATTGCATTGGCGATTAAACACTAGATTGCCCTCGCAGAATAATAACGTAAGCAGTTATTCGAGCAGATGCATATTTAAAAAACATGCAAAACAAGGAACTGTCTCTCTTATAAATTCAGCTCAACAAACACCTTCAGTAGATAGAGTTCAGTTTCAGAAAAACAATATTATTTTAGCTAGAGCAACGGCAAAATGCCAAAAACTCGCAGAATCGGGTGGCCAATTGGTCGATAAGCCATTTGGGTTTATCTCGACTGATTTTAAGGGTGGCCGGACTGATTTGCACTTAATTAAAGGGAACCAAATCAGTCCTGCATTGTGATCGGTAATTTGTAAGATTGGTAAGACTGCGTTGCAACATAACTGACTTGATAGACTTTATCATGATTCACAGATTTAATGCAAGTAGCTGCGTTTTGTTTTCCAGTCCTCTGGATTGTAGGCGTGAGAATGTTCTCGATTTTGTAATTGTTTCCAGGCATTTTTTCACATGCCAGAGGCATGCGCCTCTACGAAGTTGCATATTAGGAATAATTTGACATTAAAATCAGCAGTTAATTTTGTAACATTATAGCATTTTAACTCAGTAGGCCCTTTGAAACCGGCCCACCTATCGCAAAATCCAGTTTACGGCAAGCCTCATATATCTTTTTGTTCGATCATTAATATGCAGATGTGACTTTTGAGTAGCATAAAAATAAAATGCAATATAACCAGGGGGCAGCGTGGCAGTATGACATGAGTTATCATACTCAGTGGCGTAGCCAGCCTGACGATTTTCTCCCGCTATGTAAATTTCGAGTTATTATTATTATTCCTGTCTTTAGAGATCTATTGTTTTCACAGTCAGTGAACACTAAAATATTAGCATAGCGGGACAAATCGACAGGCTGGCTACGCTACTGCGCGTATTACCTACTGATCATACTAACCCCCTTGACGAAGGCCTCAGGTTGAAACTTCGAGAAGTGTTTTGTCTATTTAGGCAGTTTTTATACCACATTGATGCTAAAAATAAAATGGTGTTTTAAGCTAAAGTGGGGAGTGAGAATTTGCAGGAAACTCCAACGACAATGAACACGAATAAATATTCCGGATATACTGAAATGTGTATCAAAATACATAACTTGAAACATGCTTTTTCATAAGTTTATCGGTATTAAAATTTTCAACTTTACAAAGTGCGTCGAAACAGTTTGTTCGGTGAACCGAACAAGGTGGGGATGAAATTGTTCTTTATGAATAGTAATTGTCTTCAATAGTAATAGTAATTGAATATCAATTCAATAGTAATTGAATATACAATTTCGGCCTCATTGGATTTCATAATAAAGAACGCGGCATATAGTAGCTCCATAAGCTGTTGTTAGGCTGAGAATGTAGCTTAAACAACAAACGATTTTCAATTTCCGCGGGTTGTAAACGATGTAGAGTTGTGCGATAAATATACTCTAACATTTTTAATATTTATTGAACATTTTGTACAGTCAAATAAGAGATAATTCAAATTAATGCGAATCTTTCTCTTCAAAATATAAGAGAAAACATACTCCGAAAATAAACATCTTGTAAACCCAAGATATGAGTTGTTTAAAACAAGACACAATATTCAAGGTGATATTTCGACTCTATTTCAAAGTCATTGTCAAACCTAACTATTTACAATCAAGCTGCGATCTTTATACAAATTTGTCAGGAAGTAACGATGACGTAAATCAGCGAGTTAATAAGAAATACGAGAACATGGCATCACGAGATATTTGCATGCATATAGTGATACAGTCTAAGGAAAGATTATAAGTTCCTTTGATGCCTTTAAGCCACTATTGAGTTCTGGCTTTTTAAATTTTATATGCGGTGCTTCGAGGAACAACAACAGATTAGAGTTTGTGTGGTTGAGAGACTGGAGTATTTTTGTATTGCTAGGTACGAGTTCAGCGTAAGAGTAAAAGGAGCCAGAATCGTTAAGCTTGTCAAAAAAATTGTTCATGTTAAGTAGGTAGTTTGCGTCGTCACAGTCCATTAAGTGTTTCGAAACTGCGCTTTTTAGTGGATCCAAATGTTCTGAAAGCCTCGTTGCCAAATTTCGCTCAGTTTTTCCAATATACGACATATTGTAGCCCGGACAAGTGAATTCATAGACTAGATTGTTCCGCGACATATCCGGAATTTTATCCTTTTTAGGAAGGAAATAAGAGATCTTTTTGGTTTGGTATATAACAATAAATTTAACCGGTTCCGTTAAGTTGCGCTGGAGCTTTTTAATAAGCTTTTTGACTAAAAATTCACCTTGTTTACCTAAGAAAGGAGTCCTTAACCAGATTTTTTGCCTAGTGTCCTCGGGATTTTCAGTATTTCCGGATGCCGAATTACCATTAGTTTGATTATCTTCATTAACGGAATTTGAAAAAGTCATTGTTGATGATTTAATACGATCCGGTGTCTTAAAATTTTACCGCCGTTATGTTGATGACACAATTGTGTTAATAAAACCCGCTGATATACCTTTTGTTCTGAGTAAATTTAATAACTTTGACAAAAACCTCAAGTTCACTGTGGACACTTTTGAGGATAGTAAAGTGCATTTTTTAGATTTAGAAATCTCAAGTTCGGGCATTAATGTTTTTCGTAAACCAACACACACCGGCCAGTATACACATTTTGATAGTTTTGAGCCATGGCCACGCAAAACAGCGTGGATCAAATCACTGTTTTTCCGTGCGGCTAAGATTTGTACCAACTCAGCGTTTCTCAACAAACAAATCTCGCAAATTTCTAAGTTTATGGCCTGGAATGGTTTTAAAGCAAATTTTCGCTTTTCCATGATACGGAGACTAAAACAAAGGTATGCGGTCGATAATGAAGATAATCAAACTAATGGTAATTCGGCATCCGGAAATACTGAAAATCCCGAGGACACTAGGCAAAAAATCTGGTTAAGGACTCCTTTCTTAGGTAAACAAGGTGAATTTTTAGTCAAAAAGCTTATTAAAAAGCTCCAGCGCAACTTAACGGAACCGGTTAAATTTATTGTTATATACCAAACCAAAAAGATCTCTTATTTCCTTCCTAAAAAGGATAAAATTCCGGATATGTCGCGGAACAATCTAGTCTATGAATTCACTTGTCCGGGCTACAATATGTCGTATATTGGAAAAACTGAGCGAAATTTGGCAACGAGGCTTTCAGAACATTTGGATCCACTAAAAAGCGCAGTTTCGAAACACTTAATGGACTGTGACGACGCAAACTACCTACTTAACATGAACAATTTTTTTGACAAGCTTAACGATTCTGGCTCCTTTTACTCTTACGCTGAACTCGTACCTAGCAATACAAAAATACTCCAGTCTCTCAACCACACAAACTCTAATCTGTTGTTGTTCCTCGAAGCACCGCATATAAAATTTAAAAAGCCAGAACTCAATAGTGGCTTAAAGGCATCAAAGGAACTTATAGTCTTTCCTTAGACTGTATCACTATATGCATGCAAATATCTCGTGATGCCATGTTCTCGTATTTCTTATTAACTCGCTGATTTACGTCATCGTTACTTCCTGACATATTTGTATAAAGATCGCAGCTTGCTTGTAAATATAGTTAGGTTTGACAATGACTTAGAAATAGAGTCGAAATATCACCTTGAATATTGTGTCTTGTTTTTAACAACTCATATCTTGAGTTTACAAGATGTTTATTTTCGGAGTATGTTTTCTCTTATATTTCGCAAAACTGTCTGCTGGAAAAGGTTTTCTCTGCAAATTAAACAGACTATTTATGGTTGCCCAAGTTTTGTTAAATCATTCATTATAAAGTTGATTGTAAATTGCTTATGCTGCACACATTCAAATACATTGAACATTGTTTATGGCGAAGATTCACTGTTGTTGGGGGAATTATTTTGATTGAATATAATTGAACATTAGACCAGACTCGGCTAATGTGTACACAGAGTTCTCTTCTGTAAAGTGCCTGTCGAAACAAGGAGTCTCGCGAGGGTCGAGGGTAAAGTCGAGGATATGTTTTAATGCATTTTTTCATTCCAACGACTGGTTTCATACAATAATCTGGCATCGGTACTATTAATACAATCATATCATGTAACTTAGATCGCCCTCTGAATGAGTTAGCGTGATTATCTACAGATTAAACCATATGATTAAACTAAGCAAGTAGAACTCTAAATGAGTAAATTTAAGCAAGTTAAATATCCCTTCGACTCTCCTCTTTATTTAAATGATGCATTATCTGATCATCTTCCTTTGT